ACTTGGCCTCCGTAGTCTCACTTCAGGGATGTGTACGAGCCGGGTGTCAGAGACAGTGCTTAGCAACAGTGCTGATCAACAGCCACGCTAACCCAGCAGTCGGCCTCTCTTCACAGTCGAGGGGTGTTACGGGACTTCCGGCGGCAGCGAAGGCGCAGGGCGCCTCCTAGCGGGCAGTGTAGCTGGCCTCACGCCGGGCTGTGTGGGCTGCACTGGCTCCGCCCAGGGTGAAAGGCAGGTGGACTGTGGACAGTTTGAGCAGGCTTGTACTCCAGCTGTGGAGGAGCCCGAGACTACTAGAATGGCAGTAGAAAAGGAAATACTAAGGCTAGGAAACCTAACTCAGCCCTTACTGGTCACGTGACCCGAGACCCGTGGTATAACCTCTCCATGCCTCAGTTTACTCATTGGTGATATGTTTCCTAGGGTTAATGAGGTAATCTGTGCAAAGGCACACTGAGTGTTCTCGAAGTGTTTAAAAGAAGAGAAACAAGATTTGGGACGAATGAGAGACAAAGACCATCTCACTGCATCTCCAGCCTGGGCAAAACACATCTTGCTCTTAAGACAAGGCCACATTCTGGAGAGAGAGCTGTGTGCGGGACAGCTTGGCTTCCGGTGGAGAGAACTGCATTTAATCACAGTCTCCATTTATGGAGGTGGGCACTGACTTAAGGATTATCTAGTCCAAATATTTACTGAATGAATTTTCAGGAGTTATAACCTAGTGCGTAGTCACTTCAACATGATCTCTCTTCCACATCAAGGGAATATGTTTTTCTGAGAAGTTATTATTAGCCTAGGAATGTAACACTATATGGGTCGATATTCAAAAGTACTTACATACAGTCCTCTGTTTAATGCCATTACCCCTTCAGGGCAGTGCTGTTACTAATGACCTTTAGCAGGTGAACAAACTGAGGTACAACGAGGTGAGGCAAGTTGCCTGAGATCATAGGCTAGTGGATGGCAATGCTGGCTGAGATCTGCGTGAGGTATTTCGCCTCTAGGCTTAGTGCTGCTGGTTACTAAAACAGTAACTCAAGAGTACATTTTAGATGCCTTAATTCTCATTATATTCGGTTGTCTTTCTGTTAAATTGGGAAATTCTACTCCCTGGATAGAATCTAAAATTTACCATTCCTATAGTATGTTAATCTTCTGGTATATTGAAATTCCTGTTTTTGGACTAGATCTAGAATCCGGTTGCCTGAATACTTAGATATAAATAATGCCAGCCATTAAAATGTAGACGGAGCTATAAAACTCATAGGACCTGCAAAATTATATGTGATGGTTAGGGCCACAGAAGGAAATCATAGCTATAGCAGCTGGTGAAACTGACAGGCCAGATATTAACTCCATGAAGTTGCTGGCTGAGCAGCTCTTAGAGGCTTTATTTTCCCAGAAAGGTCATTTATGGGATTTTTTTGTGCTTTAATTTTTTGAAAATTTATTTTTTATACTACTGGGGATTGAACCCAGAGCTTCATGGATGCTAGGCAAGAGATTTACCACTGAGCTATTCTCCCAGCCCTCTTCTATTCTTCTACACTGTTAAAAGATGTTAAATGTACTCCCAGTGACGTGTGACTTTGACTAAGTATCACGGTAGGGAGATGAAGTTAATCAAGACTGTATAGGAGAGGAGATCCTTTGGGGGACATCACATGGTTGGACAGTGGCACCTCACTGGACAGCCGACATTGCTGCATGAGGAAGCTCGGGAGGAAGTGACATTAGATTTTGTTAGGGGGTCTCGGGTGAATCTTGAGGTATTGCTTATTGGACCATGGTAAAGAACACATTTGGGAACAAGGGAGCCATGTTACACGTTAGAGATAAAACTGACAGGGCACACAGTTACTGTGCTTTTGAAAGATGGGACCACTGTAGTGGGCTGAGAAATGGTCCCCTCAAAAGACACCTGTGTGTCTGGATCCTGTGAGTGTTACCTTTCTCGGAAAAAGAGCCTTTGTGAAGGTGGTTAGGCATCTTGAGATGGGAGATTATCTTGGATTATACGAGTGGGCCTAAGTGTAATCACATGTGTGCTTCTTCTTTTTTTTTTTTTTTTTTTTTTTTTTTTTTCTGGTATGGGGAATCGAACTCACGACCTCGCGCTTGCTAGGCAGGCGCTGTGCCGCTGAGCTAAATCCCCAGCCCCCACATGTGTGCTTCTAACACAGGAGCAGGAGACTGGACGCAGGGCAAGGGAAGGGGAGGCCATGCAGAGACAGAGGCAGACATGAGTAACAGGACCACAAGGCCAGAAATGCTAGGAAGGGCCAAGGCCCAGATCGTTTCTTAGAGTCTCCAGCTGACATCTGGATTTTGGTCCCCTGACTTTTGGATGTCAGAACTCTGAGAGAATACATCTTCGTGGTTTTAAGCTACCAATTTTGTGGTAATTTATTATCATTTCCAAAGGAAACATAATATAAATACATACTTCAGAGAACTAATAGATTTCTGAATCTACACAACAAAAAACGCTTTGTTATTAGCTTTGTCCTATTTTCCCTCTGCAACTCTTTTTTTTTTTCTTTTTTGGTACCGGGAATCGAAATCAGGGCTTTGCACTTGCCAGGCAGGCACCATGCCGCTGAGCTACAGCCCCATCTCCCACTGTTGGACTCTTGACTCTGCGTGGTTGGTGCTATGGAAGGGACAGCCCATCCATCTTGATGTGTTTTTTAATCTGGATTGCCAGAGATGGCTATGAAGCCAGTATCGGCATTTCAGTGTCAAGACAGGGCTTAGAATGTTAGTGTTAAAATTGCTCATTTTGATTCATCATGTACTGAGAGCGTTGACTAGGCTTTAAAATCTGTATGTGGTGGTGAGGAAAGGGCCAGACCAAAAGAAAAAAAATATGGCCCAAACCATATGGCCGTATATGTTTAGCATTGTAAGTATATTGATGTATACTGAGTTTGTAAATTGTTATTGTACACAGATTTGCAAAGTCAAGATTAAACCAGGAGCCCAGGGACTCCAATTCTGGCTTTTCTACGTTAGGCAATTTACTTAGTCTGGGGAGATGAAATGTCATGAAATATAATCATAATATTATTTACATGCCAGGGATACAGCTCAGTGGCACAGTGCCTGCCCGGCAAGCATGAGGTTGTGAGTTCGAGTCCCAATACCACCACCCTCCCCCCAAAAAAACATCAGGGTAAAAATTACTTAGGAAAAACATTCACATTACTTTAGAGTATTGGCTCATTAAAAAATAATATTATTTAGTAAATACATACTATGTACCAGAAACTAGACTAAGGGCTCTACACATATTTCACCTTTGTAACAATCTATAGCATTAAATGGCATGCCTACTGTACAGATGATAAAAATTAAGGCTGAGAAAAATTTAAGAAAATGTTACCAAACGTGAAAATTGAGTGACTGATCTGGAATTGAGACACAGGCATATCCATTTCCAAGTACATATTCTTAATCACTGTTAAGTTTTTGTGCATTCAAAAACAGTGAAAAATTCCATTTGTTATGCATTATAAAGTGTCCTTGATTTCACTGTGATGTCAATGTTACACAGGAGATACCAATACAAACTCTAGAGTGTGTCCTTCCTAGGTTCAGTGTTAAAGGTCCTTAGTCTAAATGACCCAGTTGAACTAGAGGTGGGACCTCTGGAGTTCAGGGTTTTGGTAATGGTTTAATCTGGGGAAAACCAGCCCAAACCCCACCCTCTCTTTAAAGATTTCTCTTCCTGCTACTTATTGAGATGAACCTGCCTGCCCTGAAGATTGTTTTAGCTGCATTGCACAGGTTTGCGTACCAAGGAATTCTTCCTGATGATTCTTCTAAATATAGTCTAATTTCTCATATAACTTGCGTTATTTAGGGGTGCATTTAAAGTTTGTGAAAATAGTGAATTTGTTTTAAACTGCAAATGTCATCAAGTTTTCTGCTCTAGAATTTTTCAGAGTATTTCAAATTCAGTATTAAACCACTTAGTGACACCCATGATCCTACTTATGTTAGTGTACTAGTCTTCCTGTTTTTTTGGTTCTAGTGCAACCTATAAAGGCTTCCCCCTGGACAGTGGCTCAGCAACAGTAGTTTTAGACCTTTCTAGGTTCTTTTCCTCACTTAGCATCGAGCTCTTTTGTCCCTCTTACCTGTAGGTGCTGAAGTCTCTGCTTGTCACTGAACCAAGAGTCAGTGAACCCAGCACTTTTCCCTGCCCACTGCTCTGTATTCTATCCTATGTTTAGAAGCCCAGCAGTGTTTTTGTCTCTTTATACGTGTGTTAGTCATTGTTGTACGTTTGAAGTAGAAGTGTCACTGTTTTAAACTCACTGTCCTATTTTGTTTGCAAGTCTCTTTTTCTGTCATTTTTTACTACTGTTAAATTATTTCAATGTCATTTCATTCACAAACGCTTGTTGAATGTATATTATTTGTTAAATGTGTTAGATATTGTCCAGGTGTATTAAAATGGCTTTCGTAGCAATTTTTGCTTCAAGAAGGATCCAGGTCAGTCGGAGACTTGATCCTTCTGAGTCTCAGTTCTAAAATCAATAAAATGTGAATAATAGCATTATATTAATTTGTTTCAAGTTAGAAATTTGTCTTCTGTCTTGCAATAGCAAAGCTGATTGTATTTTCTCTAACTTTTTTTAAACTGAAAAAAATTGCATATATTCATGATGTGTAACATGCTCTTTTGAAAAACATATATATTGGGGAATAGCTAAATTAAGCTGATTATTAACATAGGCATCAGGTGAGGTGCATAGCACAGGCTATGGTGTGTCAGCTCCTTGGTAAGGGACATTACATTCCTGAGCCACCTGGAGGAAAGATGGTTGGACTTCTAAGTGCCCACCTCTCCTGATCCCTCCATGGTGAGCTAGAAGGATGGAGGGGAAAGAAGTCTGTGAATTGTAAGCACAGAAGCTGGCTGCCTGGCTCAGAGCAGGGTGGAGGGGAAGTGAGGACCGCCCCCCTTCCAACTGTCGGAATGTTCAGAGTGAAGCTGGGAAATTTTCAGCTAAGCTCAGGGGCCACAGTCTGGCTTTTAGGTCTATATTTTGTGTGGCAACAGTCAAGATATTGACCTTTAAAGATCAGTTTTCTACTCCAAAGCGGTCTCTTCGGCCTGATTGGTGAGTGTTTCACTTTGCTGTCCCTTTAAGTGGGCTGCTGCTCTGCAACTGAATTATAACTGAACTTGGGCACATTCTCAAAGATCCCAGGCTTACAGAGGCAGACTTGGATGTGTCCTTTTACACTGTAGTACTCCAAACAGGCTCTTGCCAACTCTCTGAGACAGGCGTTTAGAGTGTCAAATCAGTATCTTATATCCCAAATGGCCAGAGAAATAGTAAGTTGAGATGATAACGTTATATGTAGTTTCATATTGTTCAAAACTATTGTATCAGTTTGGACTGTCTTTGGTGCCAGTGCACTATTTCTTCAGTGAGGGAATGGTTGCCAATACGATCTAACTGGTGTGTATGTGTTTAGGGAGATGAGTGTGTAAAACTGAGTTTGTAATACTGTGTCACATGGTGTTATATTTACTTTCTGGATTTACTCTATGCTTTTTTCAACAGGAAATAAATCATTGAAATAAAAGAAAGGAAAAATTATATTTGGTCATTACCTCCAAGATCATTCTTCCTGCTCCTGGACCACAACCTACTGGTATCAATGTGTTATGCATGTTTTTAGCACATTTTAAGATCTAAAACTATATATATCTATAAGGAATATATAATATTGTAGGTGTGTTTTTTTTTTTTTTTTTTTTTGGTTTTTCTCTGGTACCGGGAACCAAACTCACGACCTTGCGCTTGCCAGGCAGGCGCTTTGCCGCTGAGCTAAATCCCCAGCCCCGTAGGTGTGATTTTTAAAAAGTTTACATAAATGAGTAAATATAGTACATATATATATATATTTTTTTTTCACACTGGCTAGTTTTTTTTTTTCTTTTAAGAGTAGGAAGAATTTATTGAGAGAAAGAAAGTATCTGTCTGAGAGGGACAGAATGGGCCTGGAAAGTGGGTGGCCCACCAATCCCACCTCTCAAGGGTGTTTATTGAGTAAAGCCATGAGGTAAAGCAGGCTTAAGGTGGGAAGAGCTACAATCAATCAATAAGATTGCAAGTATAGTCACTTAGGTAATACTGATCCAGTGGCAGATCATAGGATGGGTGTGAGGTGGGACAAAACTATGGTCAACCAGTAAGTATACAACAGGTATAGTTGCTAGGGTGATATTGATTAAATGGGGGATCAAATGGGGAAACAAGTCACATAGCAAGCGCACATGGGCAGACAAGGCCTTACCTGAAAGGGTGGGTTAAGAAGGTTTGGTCACCAAAGTGGTTGATGTCCACTTAGAATATTAATCACTGCTGCATCTCTAGGGGAAGTACATGGGTGAGTAGTTCTTTTTCTTGAAGCCTGGCCTTCAGTGAATGTGCCTCTCATCACAGTTGTCTTCTGCATTGACCTCTCAAGGGCTCAGCCCTGTCTGACTACCTGTAATATGTCTACCTAACTTAGCTATCTGCAATGTTCTCCCCCTGAAGAAGTACCCTGACTGCCATGTGGGGGTCGGGGAGGGGCGAGCAAGAGTCAGAGACCGATCTGGCTTCTTACAGCTGAAGAGGGTTGTAATTGTGATTGGCAGTCAGAGATACTCCACAGAGGGTCTATCTAAAGGCCCTCGATAGGTGCCAGGTGTTCTTACCTTGGGTAGATGTACAGCTTTAAATCTGGAGGAGACAAGGCCACAGAAACAGTTAAGTATGCATGGGCCACATAATAAAATCAACAGGATAATTATGAATATAGCCAACAAGGTTTTCCACCAGGAGGAACCAGTAATAGCTTTCCACAAAGAGGATAAGGAGAAGGTCCAGGGAATTTTAGAATCTGACATGTCATTAACTTGTCATCTAATATCTTGAACAGCTATTGAGATATTAGCAGAAGGATCAGGAATGTACACAACATTCAGCTTTTATATTTGCACAAGAACCCTCTTGGGTTGCTGTTAGAATGTCTAATGCCATCTGATTTTGGAGGGCTTGTCTTATTAATTTTACTTCTTCATTCAGGAGAGAGATATCTGCCAAGGTATCATTTAAGGCCCACTGAGTATAGTTAGTTAAGACCTCAGTGTGTTGCATGACATCCTCTAACTCTAGAGATGGGATAAATATAGAAGCCAAATGATCATACTAGTGAAATACAATTCTAGACCATTGATTGATGCCATAGGTGGGGCAAGTTTGTACGTTTGCCAATACTTTTGACACTTCTGCCTTGTAACTGTGCAAATCCAAGTGTGCATCTTCCTATCCATCCAGGGAGTATCCAAGGCCTCAAATTGGTTCCACAGGACCAATGAGTGCATTGGGGGTTTCCCATCTAATTCCAGGGTGATTAAATCAGTTTGTTGCAAACTAGTCTTCAGCCTGTAAAGTTATTTTTGTGTATGTATACATTGTTTGGGGTATGTCCATCCCAAGTATTTAATAGAGTTAGGCCAGTGGGAATAAGAGTGATTTTTCTGTTCCCAACATAAGGGGACCTTTCTACTAAGATATCCTATAGTGGGAGTTAACCATAGATAATCATCCCATATCTGAAAGCAGCCATCGTGCTATCTATGGTTGTTGGCCCCCAGGATGGGATCCTTATTTTTACTTAGTAGGGGTCATAGTAGATCCTTTAGAGAGGCTTCAGTGGCATTGTTAGAAAAAAATTCTATTATGTCTGGGACCGTTAAGAGTATAGTTTATAGGCCACTCAGCTACTTTGTAATGGTGGGCTAAACTATGAACCATTGAACTCTTTCACAACTCACCAATATAATCTTGTATTTTATTTTAATCATCTCCTTGGGGATACACACCAAGGAAGTCCTGATGTATTCCACAAGGGGAACAGGACACATATCCAGCAAGATGCTTGTTGTAATGATTCTGCATATTCTCGCGCCCACCTTAGAAAGGAATTGCATTCTCCCTTAAGTGGTAAAGTGAACAGTAAAAGGACTAAGAGTAACATCTGAGATTACTTATCTGAACACTTTGTTTTTTCTTTGACCAGAATCTTAAGTCTTCTATGGGTTCACAGGAGTATTCCAGTGATGGTTGCTCACACTCAGGGACAGTCTCTAGTTCCCAGGACTTGAGTCAGTTGTGATGTGTCCAGGGGTCCAGGCTTGCTACCTTGACAGCTGATGGAGTTGACAGGATCACAGTATATGGCCTTCCCAGATTGGTCCTAGGGAAGAGGATGACGAGGGAAGAGACTTTAACAGTATTAAGTCTCTGGGGGTGGAAGATGGGATTTCCCTTTTCATTAGGCTGAGCTTCCATTAGCTGTGGAAGAGTCTCTTGGAATTTAGCCAGTGAGGTGACATCCTTTAGTAAGGCATCTGTTTCTCTATTGAAGAGAAAATTATTAGTGAGAAAAGGGCATCCATAAAGCACTTCAGATGGACTGAGGCCTAGAATTTGAGGTGTATTTCTTATTTTGATGAGAATGTAGTAAGTGAGGCCACTGGAGATGGGTCTCCTGCGCCATTTTGTGAAGATGTCTCTTTAGGATCTCATTCATATTTTCTACCTTTCCTGATGATTGTGGCCTCCATGCACAATGGAGGTAATGGAGAATGCCCAGTGCCTGAGAGATACCCTGTGTAACTATTGCTTTAAAAGTGGGTAGGTTTTGAGATCCATTTACTGATAGTTTTTAGTGCCTATAGTATTTCATCATGTGATTAATGTAGATTTTATTTAACTGTTCTTCTATTGATGGGTATTGAGGTTTTCCTATTCCTTCACTCTTACCCATGTTGAAATGCACATTGAACAGACACCCAAGTTTTAAAGCTATAACTTTGTGTGGAAGTACTAAATTGTAAGGCATGTGCAACCCAAACTTGCTCTCTTTCAATTCAAGTTATATACCTGCCAGTACTGTGTCTGTTTCTACTTCCTAATGTCCTTGCCAATCCTTAGCATTGTCGTGCTATTTATTTGTTTATTTATTTATTTATTTATTGGCAGGGTCTTTCTGTATAGTTCAGCTGGCTTTGAGAAAATTTCTCCATGATATTTTGCACTTGTTATTTTCTTTGTAAACTATCAAGCTATATGTGCCCCAAATGTTTAGGACTGAGTAAAACACAATCATTGGCCAATGCTTTGTGTTTCAAGTGACATCATACTTGCTGTATAACTCATCAACAACATTTATTCTGCCTTTGGTTTTGTTGTAGAAAGTTAGCATCTCAAGCTTCTGTTTTGTTGAGGGTTCCCTATCAATACTTCCATCATGGTGAATGTTGACGTCAGCAGTACCAGCCTTTGTTTTTGTCATATATGAGTCCAATGTTATATATTTCTGAAACCCAAAGATTGTACTATACAATTCTCTGTTTTGAGAGTGCAACATTTCATTTAGAATTTCTGCTTTCTTCCTGTGTGTAGTTCCTTGATTGGTAGACTTGTACTCTATTAGCAAATGTAATGTCAATTGGAAACTGGTAAACCAATTGTCAAATGTCACATTCCAATTCACTTGGGAGACTGGAGCAACAAGTCTGTTCACATCATCATTTGGTTTATTAGTATAGAAATAAAAACCTGGTGGCTGAGTTCTAGGATAAATTTCTAAACTGAAACCATAATAAGTCTTCATATCCACAATGCCATAAGTTTTTATGCCAAATTTTGAAGCTTTTTGGAGGGCATATACTGCCTGCAACTATGGCAACCATGAAATGCTGCAAGGTGTTTATCAATATTCATGCATTCAGATTGTGTGTAAATTGCTTGACAATTACTCATAAATCTCTCAAACAAGGAGTGGATAGCAGTCAGATTATTAGTTCTTTTTCTTTCTTTGCAGGCAGTTTTAGCATCAAACCTTAGGCAATTCTGAAGGAAACCAAATCTCCTCAGTGTCATTGTTGTTCTATAAAACTCAAGCCTATGTCCATAAGTCTTTTACATTCCTGTGATTATCATGAAAAATCCTTGCTAAATACAGCAGACCTATGAATGCTTTCAGTTCAGCTAGTGAGGTGTCATACTGAGTGCATTTTTGAATATGGCAGTTGGTGCATATAGAACATTTATATTTCAGCATTTGTGTATTTCACAAACACCTTGTAGCATTTTGTCTGTTATAATTTGCAACACTGAATGGCAGTGCTGGCATTCTGTCCAGTAGGTTTCACCCCTGCCGAGACTCTCACTATATTTTTGGACCTATATTTTCATTCTATATTTCTGTCACTATATCATTCTATCACTATATTTTCATTCTAACATTGGCTTTTTCCATTTGGTTTCATTTTGACTAATGAAATACATACTCATATTGCTGCTTTCTTCATCATCATCTTCTTCATCATCATCTTCTTCATCATCATCTTCATCATCTGAATCAAGGAGGTCTGCATCCCCTGTGTCTGTATCAGTTGATTCTTGCTGCATTTCACTGACACAGGAACTTTGGCTCACATGGCCAACATCAAAGTCATTGTCATCTTCATCATCCATGCATGTGTCATCTGATTATTTACTTTCAACCTCCTTGAAAACTTATAAATTTGGTTTCTCATGTGCCATTGTACTGAATTGGGTTACTTCTCCCAGAAAAATCTAAAGAAAACTTTC